ATATATATATATAACTGAATCACTATGCTGCACACCAGAAATTAACACAACATTGTAAACTGACTATATTTCAATAAAAAACAAAAAAGCAATTCAGATTGGCTTTAGAGTTCTAAAGTAGATCGAAAATTCTCTGCAACAATCATGCTTTGCCTTCAGGGACCGTGAGCAGCACACACAGGTCAAACCGGAGTGTGGTCCGAGGGTCACCAGCACACCTGCCTGGGAGGTTTGCTAGGACACAGAGGCCCGCAGCCCGGACCAGTGGCCCGAATCTCAGAAGACAGGGCCCAGGAATTTGCTTCTTAATAGATTCCTCAGTAATTCTTTGTACACAAGAAGGTCTGAGAACTGCTCCAAGGAAACACAGAGCTTTCTCTGCTCTTCTCAGCCCCCTGAAATCCACCCCATGAGGAAGAAGAGCCTGACAGGCAGCAAGGCGAGGACTCAATAAATAGCTGGTGAAGGACAAAATGTACTGGGTGAGGATTTTCTCTCTCCCCTTTTCCTTAAGCTGCCAGGGATCTTGAAGCAGCATTTGAACTCAATTACAGAAATTCTGTGGGCCTGCATGGCTTGTATTTCGAAGCTGCTTTTTCTCTCACTCTCAAATTTTGACTCATATTCTTCCCTGGTTCTAATTTTTACTGTTTTTTTCCTGGCTGCCATTATTCTATTTTATGGCTTTTGTAAGCAGTCTCAAATCCTCTGTGGAATAAAATGAGGTATAAATAAGTAAACACACTACGTCCGGATATAAATCAAAGTGACCATTACTTGCGTTCCTGCCACGTTACTCCCGCGCTCAGATCCTGCCACCGAGACTGGCCCGCACGCCTCTGTCCCCGCAGGCAGCTGGGAATGTTTTCTCAGAGCTCTTTACACAAGCATCAGCGGCCTTACTTGTGTCCTTGGAGCTCGATGGCCGTTCCTTTTCTCCCACCGATGTCCCACATGATGACAGAGTGATCGGAACTGCCCGAGAACAACACGCGCTGGACGGGGTCCCAGCAGAGAGCCGTCACCCCACCTGAGAAGACAGATAACAGCCAGTCATCAGTCACAAAGGAACAGCGTTATTCACATAGTGTGAGAGCAAAGGAGTGAGGGTCTCGTGCAGTTCTTGGCTGACAACACACTGTTGCTGAAAGAACAAGTAAGTCCCAAAAGAGAAAAAAACTAGCTCCGAAAATAAAAGTCACACCCTTTAAGGATTTCTCTCCCAAAATTTAATGCCCCATAAAATCAATTACCGTAAAGACCAAAGGGAAATGAAAGAGGCAATTAATTGACCTTCAAAACAACAGACATAATTCTAAGAAGAATAGTCACCGTATTTTTTAAAGCTGCTCTCTACCTCCCACCCCTACAATAACAGATGAGAAGTAAGTGGAGTTTTAAAAAGCTCAGTTAGATTTTTTTAAATTCTTGAACACAGATATGGATAGACAACAACATGAGACTTTAAAATTTACTTTCGTTCTTTGGGAATTTAAATCTATAGATTCTGGAAAAACTACTTACATTCTTAAGTGTCAGTGTCCTCAACTGTAAATTGGGGTTGGGGGGGAATGTGATTAGCACTACTACTGCTATTGATGATGGTATCAACCTGACCGCCACCTGCTTCACTAGGACGGCAGTAAGAAAGACTGCATCGATTACACAGGACCACTCTGTAAACTGCAGCGTGCAGCAGCAATGCTGGTTACTAGCATTACTCAGGTGGTATAAAATATTACGACAGACTTCCTTCCCTGGCAGTCCCCTTGTAAATCAAACTTCCTGTACTGAGAACAATAGTAACTTTTCCTATATAAGATGAGCACAAAGCCTATGAATACTTAAGAAGGTAAGAATACTAATTTTTCACATTATTGAAAAATACTGTATTCTGAAAAGAACACAAAATTGCTTATTTGTTGGAACCTGACATTTTTAAAATTTAGCCTATCAATTTGTTCTAATGAACTACTGCACTTTAAAGGCTTTTAGGTACAAACTACTATATACAAAATAGGTAAACAAGGTCCTACTGTATAGCACCGGGAACTACATTCAGTATCTTGTAATAGCCTATAATGAAAAAGAACACATATGTATAACTGAATCACTACGTTGCACACCAGAAACTAACACAATACTGTAAATCAACTATATTTCAACAAATAACAATAAAAAATGAAAAAAAAAGCTTTAAAGAAAGTTTCTCTCGTATAATTGTTTCAGAAGATATCTTTTCAAGGACAAAAGGAAAAAAAACCCCACTATTCTGGATTATGCTTAACAGCTTCTTCCTATACCTGCACAGCATTCTGCTTGTCTATATTCCTGCCCACGTAAGAACACACACAATTCCCCAACTCCTCTGCGATGCTTGCTTAGCCTTTCAAAGCCAAGCAATTTCTCCTGTGTTCTCTCTTCTTCTCTCCCTGTTATCAAACTCCATATACCACCCCCAACCTTCCTGCAGTATATGAGACTGGAATGCTTATGCATTTCATCTTGCAAAATGTTTATTCCCACACAGTACTCAAATGACTCACTTTGTTAACTATATGTGGCAGAGTTAGCTAATGGTCTACTGAAATTCGTGTTTCCCCTTCCGTATACACAGCACCCCCTGGAAAGCTGGACCACATTCACTGGTCCCTCTTGCAAGTAGGGGGCATGTGATTTCTCAGCAATGGAACCCAGAAAGCACATGGAAGTCATAGGCATCTCTTCCAGGCCAAGGCAGTTAGGATGTCCCTCTTCTACTTTCTCTTTACACTTCCTCCTAGAGGACTCCACGACCCCAGGGCACAGAGAAAGCCTAGAAGGATCCCGGGATCCTGAATCATCACATGGAATAGAGTAGGAACATCTGCACTGGGTTGTTACATGAGCGAGAAATAAGCCACTGCATTAAGCCACTGAAATGCTGCAAGTCATTTGTTAGAGCAGCAGCATTACCTGTTATAGTGCCATATAATTACTGGAATATTATAACAAGCTGGTCCAAGAGTCACCCAAAGCTTCATAAATGTAAGACAAGCAGAAAGAACTTACTAATTTAGACTGTTAATATTGATACCTAATATTCAAACAGATTTGGAGAGAACCCTGGTCGGGAATCTGTTAGATTGGCCTCCAAAGCAACCCACTATAAACTCTGAATTGGTTTTTCCTCCAAAATGTATCAAGAATCTAAGCACTGCTCACCACCTCCACTGCTACCATCCTTATACGAGCCATCATCAAAATCTTGCCTAGAAAATTTAAAAGTATGACACACATTTTGTTATAAAAGCTCTGGGGAGACAAAGCACTCTCATACACTGTTGATGAAAATGCAAACCAGTAATATGGGAGGAACCACACCCAGCAAAACTACATACACACTTAGCTTTCAATCCAGGTTCTCACTTCCAGGAATTTGTGTTCAAGAGACTGTCCCCACTCCCATCAAATAACATTCAAAATACATATGTACAAGGCTATTCATCTCAACATTGTTTGAAACAGCAAAACATTGGGAACAACTTAAACGCTCATATAAGAGAGTAGGTGAATAAACTCCATTCACATGGAGTACTAAGCAGCCATGAAAAAGGATGAAGGCCTGCTGGATGGATATGACGCGATTTCCAGAATACACTATAAACTGAAAAAGGCAAAGGGCAAAAGAGTATCTGCATTATGCTACCTACATCTAAGAAAAAAGGGTGGATGAGAAATTAATGAGATTTGTTACCTAGAGCAGGTGTGTGGAAGAGGCTGGGCACTGGGAACAGAGAACAGATGAAGGGGAGTGACATTTTCATCACATATTTTTTGTTTGGTTCCGAGTTTAGTGTTTCACATACTCAAAAACAAGTAAAACATAAAAACTAGGAGTGTGTGTCTCCTAGCGGGGTGGGGGTGGGGGTGGGTGGAGGACTTAAACTGAAATATAAACAGAAGCAAGTGAACCCAGCTGTGTTATACATAAGTGAATGATCCAACCTCACTGAAGGGGGTCAGGGGACGAATCAACAAAATTAACTTTGGAAAATGGTAATAAACCAAATAAAAAAAGATCTGTACACAAATGCAGTACTCAGTGAGTCTGTATTTCACAGGGCTATAGTTTATAAAGGTTGGCAATTCTGGAACTATTTTACGTGTATTCTAGGATTAAGCAACTAAGTAAATGAATTGAGGATAATGAGAGCTCAGTTTCTCGCTATTATAGTGGGAGTTACAAATGGGGGGAGGTTAGAATAAGCCCTCTGTCTACTGAGAAGGCCTAGAAGCAATGACACCCCATTAACAATGAGCCTGCTTTCCAGAGCAGTGCAGACCCACACCCCTCCAGCCCCGTCCACCCCCAGGCCACTCTCCTCGCCCTCCACAACCTAGAGCAGGGATAAAGAGTGAGAGCCAGGGTGCCAACGGTTGTGGGTTTCCAGGGTTCATGGTATTTTAATTGATGAAAATCATTTATTCCATTTCTTCGTACTTCCCTCCAGATTTCTGCTTCCCCTCGATGTTTCATTACATGCTTCTCCCTGCCTTGGATGTCCACAATACGACCGGTAACTTTTAACACAAATAATTTATTCTTAAAAGTAAAAGGTTTTGATCATTATAAAATTTAGCTATATTCTTATATATGCTGATAAAGGGAATTTTTAATGGCTGCCTAATATCCCAACACAGGGATGTGTGGGATATTTTATTTACTAGATTTTTCTCAACTTTTAACTACTATAAATTTTGCTAAGATGAACATTTTTATACATAAATCTTGGTTCACATTTCTGATTTACTTAAAAGAGATTCTCAACTGTGGAACCAGATCAAACAGATAAACCAGATAAACATTTTTAGAAATTTCATATGTGCTACCAAATGTTCAGTGAACTAATCTTTGGATACGTTCACAACATATCCCGCACAAGCTAAAGACGAGGTGGGGTGTCAGAAAGTCAGGGCTGGACACTGCTGGGTCTGTCTACACCAGCGTGACCTGGCAACTCACCAAGAGCGGCACCCCTCAGACTGCAAGGTGAGGGCGTGGAGGCAAAACGCGGCTACAGGAGAGCCATCGAAGTAAGTCCTCAGACCATGAAGCTTCTAGAATAAAGTATGTGACCTTTCGGTTATTGTATTTGGCTCTAGGTGGAAGTGATGAGTGTTTCTGGAAAAATACACGAGCTCCATCTCCAGGCTGCATCTTCCCCCTGAGACCCACAACTGGACATTCGGCTGTCTCCTTGCTGCCTCCGCAAGGGTGCCTCTTGGTCATGTTCAGTTTAAAGCACCATGATATTCTCTTCCAAACCTGCAGTCACCTCCAACCTTCCCGGTTTCTGTCAATAGCATCATCGTCCACCCAGAGAGAAAACCTCAACCAATCACCAAGTGCCGCTGACTCCTCATCTCCAAAACAGAGCGGGAACCCCTCCCCTTCCTTCCCTCCATGCTGACTGCCATCCTCCCAGTCCAAACAGGGACTCCTTTCTTCCACATGGTCTCCTCACATCCACTCCCACCCCGACTCAATCCACCACCCTTGCTACCAAGCCATTTCTTACCACGGAAACCATGTTGCTAACCTGCTTCAGCTTCATCGCTGGTTTCCCACCGCCTAAGAATGTCCACAGTTCCTCACGCTGCCTGCAGTCACCCTGTGTTCCTCACCCTGTATTCCTGGCTTTCAACACGGGCCACTGGACTCCACTCACACCCACTCCTGGCTTCAAACCTGCTTCATATATTCAGGGCCTGGAACGTTCTCACCACCTGGGTAGCTCCTCTTTCTCCTTAAGGTGTTGTTTAAATACCGCCTTCCTAGAAGCCTCCCTTTAACTCTGTGACAAGGGGAGGCCCTCTTGTTCCCTGTTCCCAACGCAGCCTACGTGCGGCACTGGGGCTTCACCACACTTGCTACACTCATAGTATTTCCACCTACTGGTCTAGTGCTTATACTCCGTGAGTGGGAGCTGAACAGGGCACGCGCTACACTGACTCCCTTCACCGACGTGTGGCAGCCCTCATCACATGGGGATCCAATGACCTGACTGACTTGATGGAAATCTGCGTCTTTTGGATGTGAAAGTCTCCACTGTAAACAAAAATTAAGCTTTCAATTTAATGATTTAAACTTGCACATCTTCACTGTGAGTATTCTTATTTTAGTTATTTTGCTATAGCTGCACTGTTACTTTCAATAATTATCCTAACAGTCATTGAACAAGCCTGTATTTAATTTTCCAGGTAAGTAGTATGCTCTGGCAGGTCCACATTCAAACCCTACTATTTCCAACAGATTCATATTAACCAAAAAAACTCTTAGAAGAAAAAAAAAAGATTTATTGATACTATAAATTTCCAATGGTCAAAATCTGATTTTTCCCCTTTTGTTCAAGTCAGTGTACGACTTTTTGATAGAAATATATTCTAATTTCTGCAGAAATATCAAGGAACTATGATACTTGGCATTTAGCTCCGGAAATAAAACCAGCAGAGGGAGCATAAGAACATAAAATCAGTTTCTTAAATCCCCATGGATTAGTAAATGCCATGTTTTGGCCTCTGAGTATGGCAATGAGGCTGATTCCATCACTAACTCACATTTTTACATGCCCTTCTGTCCTGCAACCGAGAGGGATGGGTGAATGGCTATGACTCTGTACACATACAGAAGACTTGTCTGCTTCTGACTTTGGATCTGGACTGGTAAGACCCCCAAGAACACTCTTAATGGATCTGGACTCATCTTAAGGTCTTTGTGGGGTAAGGGACTGAGGAGATTAAACAAACCCTCCATTCACAGCCCCTCTCTCCAGAACTGTGTCTGGCTAAGTTCGGGACCTCCCAGGGCTCAGAACGGACTTGCTACATAGGAAGAGCTTGACGATGTTTGAATCATTGTGGAACCTCATAGACGCCCTCACTTTAGCTTTAAATGAATGCGCTGTGCTGTGGCCAGACTGGTGATGGGCAGAGATTACTGTCTAGGAATAGCAACAAGTTAAATATGTGCCTGCTACATTTATTTGCCTTCATGTTAGATAAGGACCTTCCTGGGACATGTCCTATCTTCCTCAAGGATATTTCATGGCAAAATCATGTGAAAATGCTTTCACTCTTTCAGAAAGATAAGATACGATGTCAAGGTAATATTTTATATTGGACTAACTCGGAAGACATGAAATCCCTGGGCCACAGCTGGCTCACCTCACAGCAGGAAGCAGCAGCTACTTACTCCCTTTATGACCCAGAGCGTTCCGATCAGTGCTCTCGTTAATGCCTGATTTCTAAAGAGCCAGAAGGTCGGCGCTGAAAGCCGCCTCTGCCTGAACCAAATCTGGGAGCCATCCAGCGTATCACCAGGCCCGCTGAGCTCACTGCCTAACAGTTTACCGTGGGTCCATCCCCTCCCCACTTTCCCATCACCTCGGCCACGTTGCGAGGACAGTCTCCTGCTAGCTTTCCGATCACCCTCTCTACTGCCACAGCAATCTTCTAAAATCCGATCAGGTTAACATCTTTGCTTAAAACGCCTTCACGTTTCTCACTAACGTCAGGATAATGCTCTCGGTGATCTGAACTGATTCTCACTTCCTTTCCGGCTGCCCCCACCTCGTGCTCGGTGTTCCAGCCAAGAAGAGATACTAGGTGTCCCAAGAGAGCCATGCTTTTGCAAGTCTTCAGGCCTCAGACTCTGCTGGTTTTCTCTGCCTGCACTGCTCTCCTCGCTTCTTTTTTTTTTAATGAACTCAACACTTACTCCTCTCCAAAGAGCTCAGGTCCAGCCACATCTCCCCTGGGACCCTCCCTGACCCTCCTGACTGACGCCCACTCCTGTCCAAGCGAGGTGCCCATCTTGTGTTCTTGGAAGTGCTGGGTGCTGCTTCCCCGCCCTTCCCACCACGCACTGTAATTACCGTCTAGCTTCTGTCTCGCTGGCTGGGCTGTGAGGGCTCTGAGGTGAGAAATGACGACTACGCCCTTTCTTGCTGTGATTGGGAGTAGCGGCCAAGGTCAACCGTGGCGAGCACGGGAGGTGAGAAGACGAGGGTCCAGGGCAGAAGCCACAAAGACGACCACACCACAAAGGAGAGAAGGGAATAGTCGGAGACTTCAAACTGGGAGAGAATGTGTTACAGAAGCCAAACGAGAGCTGTTACAGCAGGAAGGAATGGCCACAATGTGAAATGCTACCGAAAGGTTAAGTAGGACATAGTTTAAAACATGGCCACTGGATTGAGCAACCAGCAGGCCATGGGCCACCTCAGGGGGAGCAGCGGAAGAGGAGTGAGAGACATGAGCCAAATCGCAGGTGGCTGGAAAGCCAACGGGAGGGGGAGAGTGTGAGGCAGCTGGGAGAAGGATGTTCTTTTAAGAAGTGCTTGCTGTTTGCTACAACATGGCGATACTGTGCTAGTGAAATGAGCCAGTCACAAAGCAGCAAATACTGCATGAGTCCACTCAGATGAGGTACCCAGAGTCACTAATTCACAGAGACAGAAAGCAGCAGGGTGTTTGCCAGAGGCTGCAGGGAGAGGAAGTAGGGAGTTAGTGCTTAATGAACACCAAGTTTCAGTCTATAATCATCTCCATTTTTCTTTGAAGGAGCCTGGGGAGAGTGGTGAAGGTCTGGAAGAGCTGCTGAGGGGGGTGGGAGGAGGAGTGGACTGTGTACTGAGGACGTCAGACGGATTAGCTGAGTGCTCGGGAGTCTGGGTTGGAATGATGCATCTGCAATGGTAATAATGGTCTGAAGCTCAGGGTGTGACTTGCGGCAGACCCAGGAGAGGGCGTGGATAGTCTGAATCACAGATAAGTTTCATCAAGAAGCAAGAAGCGCCCTGAACTAACAGTGCTGGGGAATGTGGGGCTGACGTGATGGGAAAGGAGGGGGAGGTGGGGAGGAGACACCAGGGAAGGAGGGGTCAAGGACTGGACTTGTCGACAAGGGCAAGAGTGAGTGGAGGCGGAGTGAGGGTTTAAGGAAGCCAAAGATTAGGAGACTGAAGTCAGCAGGACCCACAGTCCTGACGTAGGACAGTTTCAGGTCCCTAGCAGGCCAGGCGTGGCCAGGATGTAGGTGGCTAAAAGGAGAAATCCAATCAGGAAAGACCAGGGTCCTATCCACAGCAGATACTTCTCTGTGTTCTTCCTCCCAAAGATACAGATAATTAAGAGGGTCTTTTATGAATCTTTTCCACTGGATTCAATTTTCTCTTTAACACATTCCTTTTTTCCCCTTGAGGAAATCTCTTATGATCTAGGTACTATCCCATTTTACATCCTCATTCTCCTACTTTTGTTCTTATATGACGTCTAAACTCGATATTAACTTTGTTCTATACTAAAAAAAAATGGGTTGCTAATCTACAGAAGACACAAAATCTCCTTAAGAACCACAAAATTTTCCAGGGTCAACATCACCTGTTAAAAATACTGGTAAACAATCGGTCATCGTCATCTATTCAAGTCTCTCAAAGGCTAAGTGTGGATACGTTCTATCACCTTGCTTAAACGACCTTGAGCAGACCAGTAACATAAAAGGGGCCTTGAAAAGAGCCCCAGAGGAAGGAAAGTTAAAGAGGAGCTTATACCTTTTCATGTAGCCTAGATACCCATGACGAATCTATTTTTCATTTCATTTGTCTTGGAAGTGAGAGTCTGTCTCGCACACCATCTTCCAAGGAATGCAAGGACAGACTGAAGCAGCTGTCCTTTTGGCCTTCCAGGGTTCTGCAGCTGCCACATAGCCTCAGACAATGTCTCACTAACGGTTGCCAACACCGGCCTTCTCCAGCGCAATGTGACAAAGAACCAAATCACCGCCATTTTCAAAACAGATGGTTTGCTCTTTCGTTTGGGCGCATGTAGAACATTTTTGATGTTCTATCTTACTGAACCGTTCTGAAATCAGTTACGGGTGTCACGTGCATCTCTGCACAAGCCCAGACTGTACCGCGTCACCTTCACAGCATATCACGTGCACATCAGAACATGCAGCAGGCGATGTCTCACTGTGACAGCAGCGCGTGGAGAGTCTGCTTTCAGTCCCACCTGTATGTCCTCTGAACGTTGTGACCAGGCTGCAGTTTTCTTGCTCCAGTTTGAGGATGGTTACTTGGCCTGAGTGGTCACCAATAAACACATGCCGGGTTTCAACATCAAATCTGTCATGTAAGCGTTAAGGATTGTTTCTCAAAAGCGAGTGGATGGATTTACCAATACCTGCCTCCCACCCCCGCCCAAAAGCATAAATGTAACAAGAAATGTGCAAATCCCATACGAGGAGAGCTTGGCTATAATGCTGAAAGACACAAGTGACATGACAAAACGAAAGACATGCAGTATTACTGGACAGTAAGACTCAGTATGATAAAGATGTCAATTCTCACAAAATGAATTTATAAACTTAATATAATCCCTATAAAAATGTCAACATATGGATTTTTCCTAGAGATATGTTAATTCTAAAGTTTATACAGGAAAATAAATAAGCAAGAAGAGCCAGGAATACTCTGAAAGTAAGTGCAGTGTGGTATTGTGATGGGGGAGATTAGCCCTACTAGGTATTAAAACATGTTACAAAATTTCTTTAAAAAAGTGTGGTGCATAGATAGACAAACAGACCAATGGAACAAAATAGAAAGTCTAGAAATAGACCCCAAGCACATAGACGTCTAACATGCAAGCATATTCACGTCTGAAAGGTGGCTCTTCAAACGAAGAGGGAAAAGATGGATAAAAAAAAAAGTTGGTACAAACTGAATAATCATTTGGAAAAACAAAACAGGATCTATATTACACTTTATATACCAGGATGAATTCCAAATGGGATTCTAAATGTAAAAAAATGAAAACTGTTAAGTTCTAGATGGGAGAGATCCTTTATAAGCTTGGAGTGGGAATTAAGCTATGACTCAAAAACACAAACAACAAACAAATGCCATAAGCAAAGCAAAAGACAAATTGAAAAAAAAATTGCAGCTGATGTCACAAAAAGCCTAAACCCCTCAAATAGAAAGAGCAATCAAGAAGACTACAAACCTACTGAAAAAATGGGCAAGATACATGTATGGATAGTTCAAGACATGAAAACGGTGCCTTACAAAAAAATAAAATGAAATGAAATAGTAACCTAGCAGGCCTGACCGCTATCCTTTGAAAGGCTGCTGTTACAAGATTGGCATGGCATCTGGGAACTTGGGTTTCGGGATGGTTCCCACCACTAAAAGACAAAAGTGGCTCACTGTGCCCTAACCGTACAAACAATATGGTTTATGCCAAACATCTGTTTTCCTTCTAGGGGGTCTGGAATTTTGGCCCACGCCAGGAAGAGGCTGCCCATGTGACCAGGCTCCAGTAAAAACCCGAGGCACTGGGTCTCCAGGGAGCTCCCCTGGTTGGTAATGCCTTGGACTCCTACTTGTAGAGTTCTGTCCCAGAGGCACAATGGCAAAAATACGAAATGACACATGCCTGAGGCTACTCACTGCACATTATTTTAATAGCTAAGGTTTGAAAACTACCCAAAAGTCCATCAAAAGAGGACTCATTAACTATGATACATCTGTGCAATAGAATACTATGCAGCTGGGAACTCTGACATAGAGAAACTTCCAGGATAGATTATTAAGTGGGAAGAAAAGCCAAGGTACCTAAGAGTTTATATGCTACGCTGCCTCTGTGTACGTAAGGAGGGTAATCTGAATAGAAGTGCATGCACACGTATATTTACAAAAGGAAGCACTGGAAGGATTAGTCAAGATCTAACAAAAGTGGCCACCTGTAAGAAGGCACAAACAAGCCAAGGGGACAGCAATGGCAGCGAGACTTCTCTCTTGTTATGTAGTTTCTATTATGGAATCTTGTAATTATTTTACACGTTCAAAATATTCATAAAATTTTTTTTACAGTCCCCCAAACTGACAACAAATTGAAACAAACAAACCTAACTATCAAATTGGTGATATGAGTTAACAGAATTATTTCAAGTGACTTTAAAACATAGCATTTTGACTGTACATTCTTGGCAGAATCTATTCGAAGGACCAAGAACACTGCAAAGAAATCTAAAATCTTATTCGATAGTCTTGTTATTATAGTATTGGTACTATTATTTTGAAACAAT